GGAAGATAGACTGAGCTATGTCATTTAAAATGTTTATATTCAAATAGTTAATGACTCTTTCTCAAAATATGCTTTATTTTATTTTAGACAGGGTCTCACTCTCTTGCACAGGCTGGAGTGCAGTGGCACCATCATAGCTCACTGTAATCTCAAACTACTAGGCTCAGGTGATCCTCCTGTCTCAGCCTCCTGAATAGCTAGGACCACAAGCACGTGCCACTACACCTGGCTAATGTTGTTTTTCAAGAGATGGAGTCTCTCTATGTTTCCCAGGCTGGTCTCAAACTCCTGAGTATGTGCTATATTTTAAAACGTAGATCTCAAGTGTGAAAAGGAAAGTTCTGATAGATGATGGGTTACTGTTGATAACATGACAGTAGGTAAAAATGAACATTGAAAACAATCAGGAAATTTCAACTTTCATCTGGAATTTACCTACCAATTTGTTCTTATCTGTATGTAAATGCAAAATTCACTAGACTTATTATGAAAGAAAGTTTTAAGTGCATTTTAATTGCAAATTGATCCCAAAGAAAAACTATAAAAATATCAATGGCACTGCTGGTATCCTGGTTGTCTGGAGGAAAGAAGAGAGTATTCTGTTCATACTACTCAAGAGCGAGTGACAATTCTCTTCACATTCATGATTTAAGAGAAGTACAATGGCAGTTTGGCCAACTGTGCCAACATATGGTTTCTGATTGCAAGTGTGGTTTATGACAGGAGAAAAATAGACTGTGCTTCCTTGTTTCGGATGGAAAGCAGGATTTTTTATGAAGTGTCAGGGAACCAGATATGTGGGTTGGGAGATAAAGATCCCACTCCATTGTAAGAAAATGAGAATTAGTTGTGTGTCTGTGGCCAGAGAGATGAATTGAGGTGGAAACTTTAGTTCCTATGTTTGTAATAGTCAGCCTTTTATATTTTGCAACATTTAAATTGTTCAAAAGCAAGCCCTTTCTTGAAAGTTCAGCATAAAGTCTCCGTGAAGAAGAAAAACCATACACTCAGTTCCTCCCTGGGTTTGCCCCCTAGTTCAGGGAAAGCAGTGGAACAGCAATAGAAGTGAAGTAATAAAGATTTTACTTCTTTACTCTGGGCTTAGCTTCAAAATCAGCCTATTCCCGGTACCTCTAAATGTTGTGCTATGGCTAAAAGTAGGGTTAGAAACCACTTAGAGAAGTATCAGTCAGTGTAGGACTTGCGTCTCCAGCTTACCCTAGCAGTGCCCAGCCTTTGTGTATCTCTGCTCAGATAGCCCCTGGAATTAGAGTAGACTTCACTAGTGCGAGGAATGGGATTTAGGAGCTGGCGTCTGTTGTTATCTTTTTTTAAAATTCAGTTTGAGATTTTCCTGGTTCTTGATGTGTCAAGTGATTTTTGATTGAAACTTGGACATTTTTCTATTATTTTATGTGACTCTAGATCTTTTTGAAACCTTTTGTTTTAATTGACTTTGTCTGACACCTCTCTAGCAAGGGGAGCAGTGGGTGTCACCTTGTCACTCCCACATGGAGGTAGAAATTCTGGTTCTTCACTTGTCCTCTATTAACATGCTGTGTATATGTCTGAGTGTCCTTGTTACTGTTTAGTATAGGTGGAATCTCCAGCTCTCTACATGGTCTCCCTGACGTCACAGTGGGAGTGGTCTTGTTCTGGTGGGCAATGGCTTGACACCCTCTCTGTATTGGGGGAGGGGGGAGACGCCTAGTTATTGCTGAGTAGGGGTGGACGCCCAGACTTCCTACATCGTCTCCACTGATAATGTGGAAGATACTTCATTGTCAGCTGCCAGGCATAAAAGTCCTGGCTGTCTACTTAGTCTTCTCTGAAACCAGTCTAGCAGGGATGTTAGCGGTACTTGTTCAAGCCTCATGAGGGTGAAAGGCTAGTATCTCCACTCAGCCTTTGCTGGTGTAGGGGGTCACAGTTTCTTCTGTGGTGTTTGGCTGGAGTAGAGCAGTTATTGTCTAAAAGTTTTCTGTCTTGCTGATCTGCCCCTTTCCTGGTCTTGTGGCTAGAGAGAGCAGACGTTTGTTGAGGCTTTTTTGCTCTATGCCTATGAGCGTTTCTGGGTTGCTGACTTCCATGCTTGTTGGTGTTTCCAGGTTTCTGACTTCTTCTGCTGCAAGTCTTGAATATTTGAGGCAAAAAGAAAACCCAAGGATCTTACCACCACGTTGTTTCTTAGGTTCTGAAGTCCCAGGCTGGTCTTACTTTCCCTCGCCTTGCAGAGTCTTCTTATATTTATTTTATATATAACATCCAGGGTTTTCTTTTTTTTAAGTTGAATTTAGCAAAAGGAATAGGAAAAAGTAATTCTACACCATCTTCCCAGAAGCAGAAGTCCTTGCTGTTCAAGTTTTGGTTTTATTTATTCTTTTTTCTCCCAATATTATATGATGAAAGTTTAAAAAATACAGAGAAGATGAAAGAATTATACTCCC